CCTCAACTTTTGCACTCTGTAGAAGACAGCCACAGTTTTCCACAATATAAGAAGGATGGATAAACCCTCAACTTTCTTTTGCCCTTTTTTATTTTCAAAATTAAGTACACTGTTTTATAATAGACTGTCAAAAAAATCTTTGCGAATTAAGTTAATCGATATCTTCATTTGAATTCTTATTGTCACACTACATGTGTATATCGTTTATTCTTCTTTCGTGCCTATCTATCATGCTTTAGATGGGGTTTAATGTACTAAAATATTAAAAAATATATAATTGAGTTTTTAGTGGCTCGAGGTTAAAAGTATAATAAATTTACATTTTATTATCTTTTATTTTTATTTTTTATAGGATGATAGAATTAGAGGTTTGAAAGTAGAATGTGTTGATATGGACAAGTATGATCCAAGTATTGTATGACTTATGCAGCATCAACTAAATATATTATTTATATTTCTTACTTGTTAATAATATTATTTTGATATTGTCATGTACTCACTCGGTTTAACTCATCATTCAAAATAAGTTATTGAGCGAGAGTGAAACAACATATATTACTATTTTTTTTAATCTAGTAATGTGTATACTAAATTACTAAAATTTAGCTTTTAACATATGTTATTTACTTATACTCAACTATTTATTATTCGATATCACATTTCATGGTGATATTTATTTGCGATTATACTTTTGCGGTTGGAAAGATACATTTAGGCATAATATAGGGAAAGAGAGAATATTTTATGAGGCATCACATTATAATAATAATAATTATTTATTTTGGATATGATGAATCGAGGTGGTCTCGTTCATGTCTCTTTCTCGCCATCGAGGATTACTACATCACTGGATCCAAAGTAGTGGATGCCACCATTAAACCTTTTTTTATGGTGACATGTGGTCTCCCTTCTCAACTCCTCCTCCCTTCCTCCCTTCTTTAATCATATATTTCCCCCACATTATTTTTAATTTATTTTGTTAGCTTTTAAGAAGTAGCGACACGCAAGATAAAATTACAATTAAATTCAATTAACTATTTAGTAGTTATTTGAAAGGTCCGATTTAAGTTAATCGAATATGTATTATTTTTCTTAAAGAATACGTATTGACGAATATGTATTATTATTATTATTATTATTTATATTAGATATGATGAATCGAGGTGGTCTCGTTCATGTCTCTTTCTCGGCATCGAGGACTACTACATCACTGGATCCAAAGTGGTGTACTCCACCATTAGACCTTTTTTTATGGTGACATGTGGTCTCCCTTTTCTACTCCTCCACCTCCTTCTTTAATCATATATTTCTCCCACATTATTTTTAATTTATTTTGTTAGCTTTTAAGAAGTAGCAACACGCAAAGATAAAATTACAATTGAATTCAATTAACTATTTAGATATTTGAAAGATCCGATTTAAGTTAATCGAATTTGTATTATTTTCTTAAAGAATACGTATTGACGATTATCAAGCTTTTGTCGTGGAATGACTTGTTATGATTTTAAATTAGACTTTTCTAAGCATACGACTTGCGCATCCAATTTATTGATTTTTAGATTGATTTTTCTAAACGTATGACTTGTTATGATTTTGTTATTATTGTCGTTGTTATGTATACGAGATTAGAGTTTAAGGCATTTTTATCAATTTTCTTTTACTAACTAAACTTGTACTAACTTAAAACGTAATATAAAGATTCTAACGGCTGAAGGCGAGTGAGTCAATCACTCTACCACGAGATTAATTGTTTGTCGGATAATATTTTAAATTTTTAAATATTTAGTAATTGAACCTTATATGTCATCATCATATTAATATTTTAGATATAAATATATTTCGAATAAGATTTCTCATCCTTAATTTTTGATTGGTGGATTAGATATAATATACTAGGCATAAAATATTATTCTACAAAAATTGAGTTCAAAAGTATGTAATTTTGGTCTTATCTCATCCTGAATTATAATTCAATTTTAACTAAAAAATAGTTGGATAAAAAATATATGAGATTAAGATTCATTTTAGTTCATATGATTTTGACTATGAACCTCTTAAGTAATTATAATTTGTTTATATCTAAAGTAATTCTTATATTTTAAAAAACATAATATACAAGGTCCTCTTGTCAAATTACAGAAAACTTTAACCCAAATACATGTCATCTACGATGCTAAGGATCAAACTAGCACGTTTCAAACGTGGCCCTCCAATAGAGTTAACGTACGATATCGGGGGACCCACTTTGAAATAAATGATTGAAATGGAGGAGACATCATTATAAGCACAAGAAGAGCCTCAAAGCCAAATGGAAACAAACACTTAACCCTCCCTCACCTTCCTCGCTGCGTTTCCAAGTCTTCTCCGCTGTCTTCACGGGGAAGAGAGCTGCCCCTCCCACCTCCATGGCCATGGAGGAGAAGAAGGTGGCCGTCGACGGCTCCACCAACGGGTATGCTGCTGCTGCTGTTACAGTGTCTTCTGCAGGTGAACACAAGCAGCTCGATGCTGGAGCACTCTTTGTTCTCAAATCCAAAGGTACCTCT